AGAGAGAGAGAGAGAGAGAGAGAGAGAGAGAGAAGAGAGAGAGAGAGAGAGAGAGAATCACCAATCACCAATCACCAATGATCAATTCATATATATTTGCATTAACACCAGAACGATGATCATCTGCAACAATGGAAAAGTGGCTTAGATGGATTATTTGAATGTTAAAAACTTAGAATCACCAATGCTATTTTAATTACATGCGAATTTGTATAAACACCACAACAACAATCATCTACAACAATCGAGAAAGTGATTTAGATGGATTGTTTGAGTGTTTTCATTTGTACACTTTCCGCTTAGTGGAGTGCAATTTATGTACAGGCTTCATTAGCTAAAGTCATGCATGGGTGTTGCTTCCACTTTCAGGATGTTGCAAGGTTCAATGAGATAGTGACCAGGAAGTTATTGGAGAGGGCTCTTGGTACTTTCAAAAGATACTTTGTTAAAGATCAAGACATCGATGTAAGCTTCTAAAATTGCTCTATTCGTGAATCCTAAGAAAAAGGAAAAAAAAAAAAGAGAAGGGATCAATAGGTCAACATAGTGTACTATAAGCCAATGGAATATGGTATTAGCATAGTGTATTGGGTCACACCATCCATTGAGATGATGGACGATGATGAGGAGATGATGGTGGTACCGCTGGCTTCTTATCGTGTTACGGGTAAGATCCACGCTCCGATGATGACCCCAGTAGACCCTATGTATGCCACGACCCATTGGGTAGAGCCTGCTTTAACACAAGCTTAGTGACAATTATCCTTATCAGGACATTATTGATTGGGTGTTTTATCAGGATATTATCATGATTGTCTCTTTTATTAGGAATATATCGAATGACTACCAGGATTATAATATATTAAATTAATATACTGTTTAGTATGGAGTAAACTTTTATTACAACTGTAAAAGCGAATTCAAATTTATCACAATTTAAAACATAATTACATTAAAACATTTATGATAAAGTTGACAATAGTTCCTAAAGACAAAATTAAAATATCTAAAGTCACTCTCTGTCTTACCAGCTTTAACTTACATATTTATTATCAATTTCTTGCAAATTGATCCTAGTTGTCTTACTGATATTTTTATGCCATTTCTTAGGTCAGTGACATGTTTCTTTTCAAATTCAAATTACTGATTTTGCTTCAAGATCAAACAAATGTAATTGCTGGGTGAGTATTTTACCATGGAAATAACTAGAAACATTAAAATATTGCGATAAATTGATTGTACATGGAATTTGCTGGAGTTAATTGTCTCCATGCCCACAGTCAATACATTTGCAGATTTTATTGCTGCATGTTCAATCATCCTACTAATTGAGAGAAGGCTTTGATGATAATGACGATGATGGTGTTCAATCATCCTACTGCCTATTGTAGTTGTGGAATAAACTTGGCTTGGTTCATATCTATCTACATGTTGTATGGGTGCCAGGCAGCTTTGAAATTCCTTATGTTGCTCAGAAACTTGGAAAATCAGGAAATTATCATGCAATTCTCTGCATTGGCACCGTGGTATGTATGTAGGTATCTAGGTGTGCGTGTGTGTGGGTCTTATGTGCATGTACATAGTCTATAACTCTCGAAGTTGAGCCTCATTATAAACAAGATTCTTTTATAGTGCGTATATTAATCTTAGTGAATATTGTATCATGCTTACTTCTAATGGATGCACTTTATATTTTAAGCTATCAATGTATATTTGATTCGGAACTCAAAGTCCCCGACTAGAATATGCTAGTAACATGCTCTAACATTTTCTTTTGAAAGTCTCAAGGAGAATGGATCTAGGTGTGGCCAATAGTTACACGATGTGCACCATAGATGCTAGATTCTTCTTCACAATGCCATCTCCTTCCCAATCATAAAGATTAGAAAAGTTCAATAACAGATTCGTATTCAAAATTTGCATCATTTCGCTTCTCCCCCTCCTATCATGAATTGGATTTCGATGGACATGTGCACATCTACGTATATATGCATGTGAAATTGTATGCTTGTGTGCTTGAGCTTAGAGTACCTTTGTCTTGAGCAACCTTTGCTTGGTATGTCCCCTTAATTCCTTGAGTTAAGGGTGGATGTGGAAGTCACAAAACAAATGGGTTTAGAGGATAGGAAGCGTGGACCTAATGCCAAATATGTTACTTTTGGTAGAAGAAATGGCGATGGATTTGTCTTGTGTCCTGGTAGAGAACATTTTGATAAGGATTTGAAATGCTCTGAATATAAGGATGATTATGAAGAACTTTTTGTGGAGGCGGCTGATTTAGCAAAGAACATGAAGAAATTGGGGACCTTGGTTATTTTTATGGGAAAGGATGGCCTCTATGTGGTGGGTGACCAGTGGATTTGGTGGGTATGACAGAATTGTTATTAGTATTTCTTATTATTGCTTATGTTTTACTGATAATAAGAGCAATTATAATAACAAAGACACAAGAGAACATAAATTTTCGAAATCATCCATATTTCTATGGTTAGTATTTGAAAGCCAAGTTTAATAGCTTTTAGTTGAAGACAACATATATGTCTGATTAGGCGAAGAATAAGGAGAATGAAATGCCTTGACAGCTTGTGCAAGAGATGAAGAGGAAATTGTCATGTCTATTAAGGGTCAGGCCAGAGGTAAGCTCAGTGATCAAGTGGTGGGACAACTGGTAGGGATCTGGGCATCACATTAGGCTGAACTGGGCATGAGGAAATCTCAGTCAATCTTATTAGAGTATCTTTAATTATTTTGGAATTTCCTTCTTTTTTCTTTTTTTTTTATTGAATGCAGAAATTTTTACTATTCATCTCATCCTAATCATAGCTTTATGATCCCCTCATTCTAGTATGTCTAAATAAGTTGTTGAGTGATAGGTCAATGAATAATGAGTAATCCTTCATTCTGATGATGCCAGTGGGGTCCTGGTTTCCCTTAGGCAAGAAGGCAGAAACCCTCTCTTGAACAACCGTGGAGGTTCGGCGTGTGGCGCGCACGTACCATCCTACTTGCGGATAGGTGCCAACGGTGAGAGAGATTTTGCGACTAGAGCACAAATGCTCTTTACACCGCTTGGGGGGGTCGGGGACACGTCCAGGTGGATAGCCCTCTTAGAGCAATTACGCAACCCTCTGGCTGCTTGTCAGCGCGGTTTGGACGGGGGCCTCTTCAAGCTCGCAAACTCTCTCTACTCTCTCTATGCTATTGGAAAGGGATCTGAATGTCCCTCCTCCTTGGTCGCCCTCCTGAGGGGACTGGCTGGCCACTAAAGGGGGCGTGAAAAAACCCGAGGGTTGAGACCCATGGGTTTACTCATGTCCAAGGGCTTACATGCAGACATGGGCTGCTGCGCGGATGAGGTCATGCGTGGAGGTGAGAGTGAGAGGGAGAGAGAAGGGGTGGCTCAGATTAGGACAAAGGGAAGATGACCCGTGCAACAAGGGTGCTCGTGGGACCGCGCACTCAAGGGTATCCTCTCTCTCTCTCTCAAAGTTTTCTCTCTCCCTCTCTCCTCTCCCCCAAGGATTGAGAACTCACAAGGGAAAACGAACTAATGAGGCAAGCACAATCTAGCCTTGATTCTTCCTAACCTTTGGGGGTATTGGAGCTTCAAAAATGGGCCTTTCTAGAGGTGGTTTCTCCTTCCTCTTATAAATGGGTTAAGCTTGCTTATGGATTCCCCGAACAAGGGTGAACACTCAAAATCCAAGCTTAATTACAATTTAAGAAATTAGAAATAAAGCTTGAAATTAGGGGCAAATGACTAAAATGTCCTTGTGATCTTTTGTACGAATGACAAAACCGTCCCTGCATGCAGGTTGCTCCACCATGGTGAGACCTTGGAAGCTTGTTCTGCAACTTATGGTAATGGTTCAGTTGTTTCAGCAGCATATCTTCAAGGTCCTCTCAATTGTGAGCATTTTGATGCCCTTGGATCGTGATGTGATGGCCTTTTCCGTCAGGGTGAAAGTCCGATCAGATTTGTGAACTTCTTTTGCCAATGCTTCTTCGAGCTGTGTTGTTCTGGTTCCTGGCTCTGCTTGCAAGTTAGATAGAAGGCTGTCACAGTTGTTTTGCACCAAGTTTGGGCTAATTTGGTATTGATTCATGCATTTGACTAATTTGGGAGGTACAGGAAGAAGGGATTCTGGCAACCGACAGGATTTACTTCTCTAGTGACCTGGGGACTTGCATTCATCAGACCTTGGATTGAATGCAAGAGTTGTACCAGTGTGTAGCTCCTCGTGAAGTGGTTGCATTGAACTCGTCATCGCGGTGATGCAAGGTTTGGATTTCGAGCTACGCTTCACGGAATCCTAGGCTTCTTCTCCTTGAACCCTGGTTCTACCTCTGGCTCTGTGGACACCTTCTTCCTCGGAGCTCGGTGGTTCTCGATCATGCTGCAGTATATGCCGTAGGTCAACATGACGGGGTTGGTGTGATCTAGATTATATCAACTTTGGAGCTTTCTCCGGTTTCAAAGGAAGGCACCGTGGGTTGGCGAAGCTGCTGTCGAAAAGCGTTGTTGCAGTCCCCGTTTTCAAGGACTGATTTGGTGAAGCCGCTTCGCGCTAGTGTGAAACCCGCCAGTTGTAAGGCCGCATAGGTGTAGACCCCTTCGGGGAGGTCCGATTGAACCCAAATTTGGTCGTCGAGGGTTTTTTGACATTCTGAGTGCAATGGTTGTGGCTAGGTATAGCTCTGCAGCCACTACCATAGGGCTACAGGTGAAGGATCCTTCTTTGGTACGATGGCACCGCACCCAGGTCACGTGGCCCAAGGCTTTACATTTTGGCACAACATTAATCTGTGGGTGTCTGGTGTACCTGCATGACCAAGCTGTCGCCGGCTCTACCCTTATTCGCATGGGCGATGGAAGTATGTCAAAAATGACATACAACAACTTCCCCTGACAGATGTTGCGCTTCGAGAGAGGCGAGAAGTGCAACATTCGAAAAACTTTAATGTTGTAGCTCCTCTGGCGAATCCTTGCTAAGAAATGTTTATTGTCTCTCAAATATATTTTTGTTCTTGATCAGCAGCATCGACGCAATCCTTGAGGGGTAGACCTTGCAAAGCTTTTCCCTTGACTAGGGGGTGACTAAAATGGCTTCTAGTGGTCCGGTGCCTTGTTGAGGGGCATTCTCTGGGTTCTGCCAGAATCCGTTTTTTGGGAGATTGCGCTGATGGTCTGCCTTAGGCAGGCTTATGACTTTTGTATCAATGAGAACTCCTAATGTCCCAACCAGTGGGGGCCCCTTTTTTTTTAGGGCTTTATCCCATCCTGGCTGGGGAAGTCCTGGTGTTCTAGTTGGTGGGGACTTTTTTTGTGGACTTTATCCCTATCCAAACAGAAACACCAGGTTGTGGTGAGCAAGCAGGATACCTCTTCGGACCACATCCTATTGGTCCAGTTGGGGACCTCCCGAATTACCCGGACGTGATAGGATGGTGGCCTTTGAGGTGGTCTCATTTCAGGAGACTTCACCCTGAATGCTGGTGTTTGTTTTGAGAAGGAGAGAAGGGTAGGCAGGTTGCCTCTTCAGTTCACGCCCTACTAGTCTAGTTGGGGGTCTCTCGAATTACCCAGACGTGATAGGGAAGTGGCCTCTGAGGTGGTCTCATTTCAGGAGACTTCACCTTGGATGCTGGTGTTTGTTTTGGAGGAGA